AAGTGAAATCATGCAACAGACATGCAGCTCACTTGTATGTTATTTTTTTTATTTTTTAAAATATTTTTATTAGTTATAGGTGGACACAATGCCTTTTATTTATTTTTTATGTGGTGCTGAGAATTGAACCCAGTGCCTCTTCACTTGTATGTTATTTGTTTTGCAACGGTAGGTGAATATTTGTTTCATATTAGAAAGCTGATGCTTCTCCGTGCTTTGAACTTACAGGAGGCAAGGAGTCAGATACCACTCAGTTAACCTAAACTGTGGCCTCTCCTTTCTGTGACCCCCAGATTTCCATGCACAACTCTCCTGTTCTTTGGTTTGTGCACAAATAGCCATCTTCTGTGTCTTTATCCCCAGAGCTCCTTCTCTTCATCTACCCAAGCCCATGTAGGGAAACTGCATGTGCTGTGTAATTCAGGACTGTGCCTGACCCAGCCAGGCATCCTTTAAGGTGTTGTTGTTTACCCATTAAGTAAGTTTATCCATAAATACCTCCTATCTTATTTGTAGAGGACCTTTGGGAATCACAACATTAAAATGTGACATAAGCTTGTGTTGTAGACTTTTAGCACATATTTTTATTTTTAAAATGTATTTATTTATTTTACAGTAGAATGCATTTTGACATATAGTATGCAAATGGAGCACAACTTTTTATTCCTCTGGCTGTACATGGTTCAGAGTTACTCTAGTGATGTAATCACTCAGGTATAAAGGGTAATAATGTCTGGATTAGCATGTATTTTAAAAATGAAGTTTTATGTAAGTTTTGAAGTTGTGAACCAGAAGCACTATATGTGTTCAAACTCAGTGAAACCAAAATGTCTCTTTGTGTGTGTGTGTGTGTGTGTGTGTGTGTGTGTGTGTGTGTAATATAAAATGTACTTTTTTCATTTTATGGTCATTTGTGAAATGATGCGTATTTAACAGCAAAGTACAAATTCAGGCTGTCTTCATAGAGGAATTAGAAAACTGTTGCTTTGATTAGGTGCCAAATAAGAATATATCATTTATTGAACACTTGCTATGTGTTGGCATTTTACCTGTTTTATCTCAGTACTTACAACAGACTTAGGAATTGGGTTTTATCTCAGTTTTTCAGATAAGGAAATTGTAGGAAAAGTGGAAGTACTTTATTAATTCTAGGAACTGGCGAGTTTATAATTAGCAGAACTCTCAACTGCTAGCTAAAATTGGCCAGTATGATTGTGGAATTTTTCAACTCTATTTGTTTTTCCTCAATCTTGGACTATAATCTTCCTTTTATATTCTTTCCCCTAATTATAAATTGAAAGTCACTTGTGATAGTTTCAGGAAAAAGAAAGTTATGGACTAAAATTATTATACTCTGTTGGTAAGTCTCCAACTATGAACAGTGGAATTCAGACTATTTTTTTTT